AAAAAGAAAAAAAAAAAAAAAAAAAAAAAAAAAAAAAAAAAATTGCTATAAGGATAAATTAATAATATATATAAAAAAATATATATTTTATTTTTCTTATTTTGTATATATATAATTAATGAGTAAATATATTGAAAAAAAGAACAAATAAAAACACAAAAAATAAATAAAAAAAATACACTTTTTTTTACTTTTCTTTTTACTTCTCTAATTATATGCTATATTTTTTAGTTAATTTTTTATACATTTAACTCATATATATACATACATATATATATATATATACTTAGATGAATGTATAAATAAATAATTCCATTTTTTTATTTATATTTAAAATAATATCAAATATTTATTGAATAACATAAAAAGTTTAAATAGAATATTCTATATGTAAAAAAAAAAAAAAAAAAAAAGAAAAGTAATAAGTAATTAAATGCTTAATTATGATAGTTGTATAAAAATATTTATAAAAATTTATTAAATAAAACTTCATCTTGTCTTTTTTTATTTCATATTTAGAAAATTAATTTATTTGGCATTTTGTATTTTTCTGATTGAATATTATTTTTTCATGATTTTTTTTCTTTTGTAAAATATATTTTTCTCTAGGAGTTAATTTATATTCAGTATTAAATGAATCAACAATATCCTTATTTGAGGAATAATGTAAATCAAAATCGCTATAATCAAATGTAGAGGAACTGGATGTTTTTGTAAAATTTTCTTTAATACTTTCATCAAAACAAATAGATGATTTTGTATAATTACTTATATTATTTATGTGATTATTCATATAATGATATATATGTGATTTGTTATAATTACTATTATTATTATCATTATTTTCTGTATATGTGTGAGTAATAATATCATTATTTTTTAATTCATCAAATAGTTTTGATCCATCTTTAAAATTTAATATGACATTATGATCATTTACATTATTAGTTAGTTTATGATGCATTAAATTTTTCTCATTTTTTTCTTGATTTATTAATTTATATAATTTTTTACTTTGTGATAAATTCTCATTTTTAATATGTTCTTCCAATAATTTTTCTTCATAATTTTCTTTCCTATCTTCCTTAGACTTATTTATGAAAGGATTGGCAAATTTTATTAAATTTTTTTCTTTTATTATTTTATTATTATTATTATCAAACGTTTTTAATAGTTTCATAAAACTTGTTTTACCATTATTATTATTATTATTATCATCATTATTTATATTAATTTTATAAGAAAAATAATTTTCCTTTACATCACTAAAATCTTTCACTTCACTTGATTTCAATGAATTTGTTATAGATGAATCATTTTTTAAATGATTTTTATTTTTTAAAAATAAATTTTGTTTTTTATTATGAATCATACTGTCATTTTCAATTTCATTAAAACTTTTAACTGAATTTTTATCTTTTGTATTATTGACAAAATTATTTATAATAATATCATTAGCATCTGAACTTACATTACTACTATTTAAATAATTTGATATCTTGTTATCTGAACTATGACTTTTGTTGCTCTTATTAGATAAACCAATAAAATTCTTTGAAGTATCATTTTTTTTTATTGATATTGAAATTAAATCCTTTTTATCATTATTTCTGTAGCTTCTATTTTTTTTATTAAAATGATCATTAAGATTCACCTCTATATGATCATTTATGTAATTTTCATCTTGTGATTTTTTTTTTGTTATAGATAGGAAATTATTACTGCCACTTGTATATTTATTACTATGGTTTTTTTCTGTATTTTTATCCATATCGTTGATTATATTATTAACTTCTTTATTTTTAAGACTTATGCTAGTACAATCGTTAATTACATTATTTATTTCTTTGTTGGTTGCTAATTTCTCATAATTGAATACATTTTCATTGTTATTTATTAAAGATTTATCGTTCATTTTTAATTTTATGTCTATTTTGTTATTAATTAAAAAATTTTTCGTGCTCATTTTTGGCAATATTTCTATATTATTTAATTTTTCATTATTATCTAAGTTCTCCATATATTTAGCATAATTTTTATTACTATTTTTTTTAAAGCTATTATCAATAAGATTTTTAGAAATATTTTCATATTTATTAGTATAATTTTTCTGTTTAATAGAATTAAGTATTTCTTCATTTTTATTTGTACTAATTGAATCAACTGCATTTATTATTTCTAGATTATTAACACTTTTATCCATTGTTGTATCAAAAAATATAGAATTATTTATTTTTTTTTTTTTTGATATATTTTCTTTATTAAAATTGGTCCCAAACTTTTCATCATCCACTTTTTTTACTTCATTATTTTCTAGATCTTTCTGATAAGGAAACAAATTATCAGTACTTAAATCTATTTTTTTTCTATTGAATACTTCTACTTTTTCCTTTAAGCTAATGTCTAGATTTTCTAAGCTACCTTTAAAATCTCTTTCACTATTCATATTATTAATATTTATTTGAAATTTGTTACTATTTTTTTTTTCATTACCAAAACTTTGATTTTCACATATACAGCTAAATTGGCTATTATCATCATGATCATTGTAAATACACATGTTATTACTATTTTTTTGACCCAAGCTAATCTCATAGAGATTGTTTAAATTTTTTTTTAATTTTTTCTTTAATTCCTTTGAGTTTTCAAGCAAAGAATGAATTTCTTCCGAGAAAGAATCCTTCTTTTTAGTAAATCTTCTATTTTTTATTGATCTGTTCACATTCATATTTTTGGTATATATTTTTATATAATCTTCATCTTCATTTTCTGTTATCAATAAATCCTCTTTTTGTTTCCATTTGTTTTCTTTCTTTGTGTCTTGTAAATTTATTTTTGATTTTTCATTTATTAATAAGTTGTAATCAAATAATCTTTCTTCATTTATTTTATTAATTTTTTCTAACAAATCATTTTTCATTAAATCCTTAGATATATTCAAATTTTTTGTTCCAACAAAATTAATAAATGTATCGTCTATTTTACTAGAGTAATTTCTCTTTGACTGATCCATTGATATTTCCGTTTTTTTTTTTTTTTTTTCTTTATTTAATAATTTAGATGTGCCTTCATTTAAGTTATTTTCCTCTTCATTGTTGTCAATAGAAATATTTATGTCATCTTTTGGAAAAATACAGTCATCACTATTATTATTAGCCCCCTTTTTAATATTTTGATTATTTAAATTATTTTTTAATAAATTTTTTATATTTTCTATATCATTAAAATAATAATTTTTTTTATTATTGTAGTTCATAAAATCATCTACTTCACTGTTACTGTAGCATTTATTTTGAATATTTTGAATTATATCATTTTTCTTATTATTGCTTTTTTTGTTATTTTTCATATGCATAATATTATTATTATTATATAATGTATCATCTTTATCATTATCTTCTTCATTGTTAATATCGTCACCATCATCTTCTTCATCTTCTTCCTCTTCATCCTCGTCATCTTCCTCTTCTTCATCCTCATCTTCTTCATCCTCATCCTCATCTTCTTCTTCATCTTCATCCTCATCCTCTTCTTCATCCTCATCTTCTTCTTCTTCTTCTTCTTCCTCTTCTTCTTCACCTTTTTCATCTTCTCTACTGACATCATTATTTTTTTGAGTATCTATTTCACATGAAATGTTATTTTTAAATTCTTTCTTATTAAATAAAAAAGCATTTTTGTTATTGTTTAAAAAATTTTTATCTTGACATATAGTATTATTATTTTCATCTATAATAATATTACTTTTATTTTTCACAAGGTCTTCATTATTTTTTATAAAATTCTCTTTTTTATTTGCAAATTTATTTATGAAAGTTTCATTTTTTTCATTTTCAGTGTGACTAGATTCATCTAAATCACTATTCGAATTACTTTTTTTTTTAGTATTATATTTGGTATTATTTTTATTTTCTTTGTTATTCCTAATTTTATTTCCATTATTTTTATAGTTATTATTATCATTTTTCTTGACAGAACAACAATTATATCTGCTTTTAAAATTGTTTTTCATCATATAAAAAAGAATTTCATAATCATTTTTGAGACAAGAATGAGAATATTTATTTTTTTCTTTTTGAGTATCACCGTTTATAATAACAGTTGCTTTGTTGCCAATCTTAGATGTAAAATTATCTGCATTTTCTAATTCACTGTATTTATTTATTTTACTATTGGATATAGAAGAAATATTTTTGAAAAAATTCCAGTTATTTGATAATAAATATATCCATCTACTTTTAACTTTATCATGCCATAAAAATTTTGAATTTTGTAAGCTAAAATTATTTAACATTTCGGTAACCCATGGATGGTCTAAAACATTTTGTAAACTCAATCGTTCATTTGGATTTGATGAAGTCAATTTTACAAATAAATCCCACGCTTTCAAATTTTCTCTAAATCTACTAGGTGGTTTAGAATGTCTTAAATTATGAACAGTTTTTAAAATGGTTTGTGCAACTTTGGAACATTCTATGCCTTTCTGCCTGCATACAAATCTACCAGATATAAATAAAATCATATTCATACCAAGAGCGTAATTATCAATTTTTTCTGTCATAGGTCCTGTATTTCTTAATACTTCAGGTGGGTTTATTTCTAACGTCCCTGGCCATTCAGATGGATGTAAATTACAGGAATCTATATGTTCTGACCATCCAAAATCAGCTATCACAATTCGCTTATTATCATATCTTAAAATATTGGTAGGTTTTAAGTCTCTATGGACAATATTCATATCTTGAATATACCACATTCCTTGCATCAATTGAATAAAATATAGAAATGCTTCACTCATATTACTTGATAAATTCTCTTTCCATAATGTACCATCATTTGCATAATCTTGAATAAGTATCCATCCTTCTTTCCCTCCTATAACTTTGTGTAACTTAATTACACCTGGGCATTGGCATATAGATAAATTAATTATTTCTTTAGTAAACATTTCAACAATTCTATTAAAAGATTCTTTTGGAAATTGATTTGGCTGTAGTAATTTAGCTGCAAAAATTTCGTTTGTTACTTTATGTTTTACTTTCCACACCTGTGCATAAGTTCCTTTCCCTAAATTATTTAAGACTATATAATCTTTAAAACAGCTATCATTTGTTCTAACTATTCTTATTTGATTATGTAGTACATTTTGTAATTGAAAAATATCGTTATTAGTAGATAAATTAGATCCAATTTTAATTTCTTCATTTTTCTTACTGTTCATATAATTTCTTTTATAAATTTTTTCAACTAATTCATTATTATCTTTAGAGTTATTATTTACTGTTTTAATACTTTTTTTGTTATTTGTAAAATCCATATTTTTTTTTTTTTTTTTTTAAATTTATCTATCTTCCTATTATTATAAATGGTTATCCTATGATCCAGTATTATAAATTTTTTAATTGAATTATATTTTCAGTAATATGTGTATATTTCTAATCGTATTTTTCTATGTTATATATATTTAAAATTATATATATTTATTATTAGAATAACTGTTCTTTCAATTTGATTATTTTATTTTATTTTATTTTATTTTTCTTCTATATATTCAAATTCTTATTGTCTATTTTTTATTAATTATCATTTAATCAAATTATTTTTGTAATATTCATAAAATTATTTCCAATACTATAAAATAATTTAGTCCTTTCAAATGAGGTTTTCTGTTCTCTTTATCAATATATTTTTGTGGGGTGTTATTCTAAAGTTGTAAATTACTGTAATAATTTTATTTAATTTTTTTTTTTATTTTATACAACTTAATTACTTGCATTAGTTTCTACAATAATTTTTTTTTTTTTTTTTTTCTACGAATACACAAAATAAAATAGAATCAATAAATATATTAATCAAATTAATAATAACATCAAACATGAAAAAGAAATATAGTAATAATAAAATTAAAATGAAAACTATAAACAAAATTAAAAATTAAAATATTGATAATGTAACAAATTTATATAAGTTTATACAAAAAGTTATTGATGAGGATACAATTGACACATTTTTATATAGTGGATAATTGTGAAAAAAAAAAGAAAAAAAAATTAAAAATAAAATAAATATTAGAAACAAATCATGTTAAAAGTTAAATTAATGACAAAAATTATAAATATAGACAAAACGAATAAAAAGTTGTTGACAACGATACAATTGATGCATATTTATATATTACATCTGCATAATAAAAGCAAAAAAGACTTTAATAAAAACTATTATAAATATATAGACATAAAAAATATATTAAAACAAATAAATGTTTATTTTAAATAATAATTAATAATTTTTAATTTTCGTTTTTTTTTTTTTTTTTTTTTTTTTTTTTTTTTTTATAATTATGAAATTAACTTATATTTATACATATTAAATAAAAATTCATTTGTAAAGATTAATTCCTGTCTACTCATATGAAAATATATGTAAAAAAAAAAAAAGAAAATACAACAAAAAATTGATTTCTTTGTGTGATTAAAATTAAGAAATTTATTCTGTTTTTTATTATTTTTTTTTATTTCCGTAGCTCAAATTTTTTCCTCTCTCTTTTTTTTTAGATTATATTATTTAAGAACAAACGTTTGTACTATTAAAGGAAAAAAAAACCAAATTAAAAAAAAAAAA